CTTTTATCTTCTTCTTCTGCACTATAATTTTGAGATGAAGCTTCAGAAATTACTGGCAAACTGTGATCTAACTTTTGAGAGTGAACTGACCTACGTAAAGATCTTCGAGTGCAGGGTGTCTTTTTCTGGCTATCCATTTCACCTTCACTACTTTCAGATGTTGACATGTCTATATTTCTGTTGCGAAGTGACCTACGTCTACCTGGAGCAGGAGAATTAATTTTAACTTCAATTTGGCTACCAGTGGAAACAGAATCATTTAAACTGGCAAGTCTACTGGACTTTCTGATGCCAGCTCTAGTTTTGGCATCTGGTTTTTCCTCATCAGAAGATCTAACTTTTTGTGGAGTTACAGTTACTTTTATATCATTATCATCAGCACCTACAGTGACAGTTCGTTCTAGGATAGTGTTTTCTAGTGTTGTTTTGTTACCACTCTCATCAGCTGACTTGTTAGTGTCTGAGTCTGTAGTTAGCACTTTTATGTCGTCATCTTCATTTTCATCATCTGTTTCTGCATCTTTATGTTCTTGGACATCTGAAAACCAACAAAAACTCACAAAATCTTTCAGATTACTCAATATCCCTGAGATTGCAAACATACACTGAAACTCAGATACCGGTACATGTTTGAGCATTATACTAGTTCTCAAATGGATCTGCTCTCAATCAATCTTTGCTAATCTCTTGATAGCTGCTAAATGATGTGGAATTCAATGAAAGCCACTAACCTTGTTTCACTGTAATAGAGATATTTTCTTCACCATATCTAAGCTCATCCTCTTTCTCTTTTACAATATTTTGTCTTGGTGTAGGTGTTGAACATCTACAAAATCAAAATTTCTTTATTAAATGAAGTACTGGAGCTCACTAAATGACCAAGTAAAAGTTCAATCGATAGCAATAGATGTAAGTTTGGTATGCTATTCGGCTTGACATGTCTCAATCCCAAATTGCACATTATGTATTCAAATTGATTAGTGCTTAAATCAACTCTGATTTTAATGAAGCAAATGAGAAATTATCCACAAACCTGCCCTCAGGAGAATTAATAGAGAATGACATAGTATCTTTAGTAAGAAATAGAAAGTTGGCAGATGAATCAGGACTCAATGGATTAAAGGTGTAGGATTTGAGATTAGCAGGAGCTGTGAAGGAGAATTCTTCTGGAAAGTAAGCATTGCCTCTTGAAACATTGACTTTTTCCAATTGCATTTCTTTTTTTGTATCCTTTTCTGGAGATGACACTAAAGATTGACTCGTGGAAGTAACACTCTTCTGTGTTTTTGATTGATGTTTCTTTTTGTCTGCTGCTGTTGACCTTGTGACTTTCCTTTCACCTACAGGTTTTGCAGTTTCTGAAAAAGAAATGCAAAAAATGAAACTTAAAGATAAACCTCATCAGAACTAAGACATTATATGGTAATTTACTGACAAGACAGTGCCATTCAATTATTTGGAATTATACTGGATAACATCATAAAATACTACAAGTTATGGATAACATTGTTTAAAGAGTAGTTGTTATCCATAGATTGTGTTTTTTTCTTGTCTTTCCAATAACTAAATGACCTTAGTTTAAACAGCATTCATGACACCATATTTTTCCATCAGCTTTTCCTCAACATGTTTTTTATTTTATTAAATCTTGTAAATAAAGTTACATTTACAATAACTTGTGAGTGTTCAATGATTGAACACAGTTGACCTCTCTTTTGCCAACTATCATGACTATACTGGCAGCCTGTGGTATAATACACCTTCTCACAAGTTGAAATTGAGATCAAATTTCACATCATTGAAAATTGTCAGATTGACAAAATATAAACTAACAGCCCTGGTTCAATCTGTAGATAAGTAAATAAAATAAGGCTAACAATACAATATACTTATCAATTATCATATAGAAAGTAAATTGAAACTTACTAGGAGGAACAGCTTGTTTAGCAGCAGTACTGGCTGTAGCAGCAAATAATCTAGATTCTACAATTTTTGTTCTTCTAGTGATTCTTTTTGATGTAGTTGGTTTAGTTTTCTTTATTTCTCTTTCACGAACCTAAGAAAAAAGGCAATTTTTACTGCCTTTTACTGTCACAAGCTCACCAATTGGTGTAGAATTATATGCGTTTGAAAATTAAAATGACAACTGTCTTTTCTTGAGACATACGGTAAGCTATACAAAGAAAAAGTGAAAAATTGAAATGTCTGGTATATTTGAAAGAATTATGCAATTTTCGTAAGTTCTAATACTTCTGAAGATTATTTACATATTTTGAAGACCTTTACGTCATACTAGCATTACACAGAATTGCAAATGACAAGGTGTTAGAATGCATGAAAGAATATCATTTTGCCTTACCTTTTGTTTCAATGATTTTGAACTTGAAGTGTTTTTGACATTATTGGTGTCTGAAACCTGTCTCTTACTGGTTGAGGAATGAAGGTCATCACCCTTTCTCTGAAATGTTTTTTTGGAAATAATGGATGGTGTCGTATGATACTTATACAAGTGGTTATAGAAAGGTTCAGGTGCACAGAGAGTGTTCACAGTATTTAGAATCAGTAACCACAATTTGCAATTCAAAACAAAAATGAGACAAATAAAGTAACACAAAGGATCCAGGGCTAAAATGATGCATAATGAGACGGCAGGAAATACCTCAAATATGCATCCTATGAAAAATCCTCTCATAAAAAAAATCACCCAGCCCTATATCAGTAATAATAATTCAGCAAATTGCAGTCTGTGCAGATTAAGCTTATTCAAATTGTTTATTCCTGTTATTTTAGTCATAAAGCATTCATTATAGCCAGGCAAAATATTATTTAGTGTTTTCTATTTCCGTATGCAGGGCTAGTTGAAATTATGCTTACTTTTAAGCTTTTAACAGATTGTTTTGGTCCTGTTACATTTGATATCTGTTTACGTTCTATTAAAGACTTTTGAGGGGTTTCAACAGGTTTCGATTTTCTATTGTTAAAAGCTGGACCAACATTAAATAATTTGTAGTCTTTATGTTCTAATTTTCCCACTTTAAATGTCTGCTTTTTAGCCTTTTCTAAAGCCTCTAATTTCTTCTTAGCTTCTTTTTCCTGCTTCCATTTTGATAACCTAACTTTCAAATCTTCACACTCTACAAAAAAAAAATAGGCCTCACTTTCACATCATGGGTAGAACTGCTGGTATTTTCAATAAAACTAAAGTCTTATATCAGCCTCAAAATTGTAATGATTGAGTGAATGTCACAAATTGGCTATGTGTTGATAAAAATACCGGTATAAACATTGACACAATCATACTTCGAAAATGAAATTTGTTTTTACACAGCTTGAAATTTCAAGAAACAATAGAATATGCTCAGTTTGAGCATATATTATGCTATTGGCAAAATAACCCATTGTAGAGTTCGGACAGTTCAAAAAATTGACTCTGTGTAAGCTTATTATAGTATGTAAACAGACTATTTTATGTTGTACTTTACTGCACCATGTGGGGTTATCATGAATACGGGCAACGCTATGCAGGGTGGAGTGAAGGAAATTTTGCTAAGACAACAGCATTAGCGTGCTCTTTTTCTATTTTTAACTATCGAGGGATCTTAAAGGTGTACAGCACCTAGCAATGTAGCAATGAAGGTGTTATCTTGACCTATGCCGGGATAATCGCTTTGTGTGACTGTTCCTGTTACAGCCAACTAAATCGCTGAGTGTGATGACAGAAAAGCTAGCTACAAATACCTAGTAAGACTGGGATTATGTAAGAGGAGGCCATGCCATTTTGACCGTTTTTGGTAAGGTGCCAAGTTGACAAAACTAAACCCCTGAATCTGGGCCTACGAAATGTATTGGCAAGATGATTTACCTTTTGAATTCGTTTTTGTGGTTTTACCCTTCAAAGAGTTTTCAGTATCTTCGCCTTTCTTCTTAAATGGAGTATTCATTGCAGATTTGTCACATGAAATGGTAGAGGAATTTTGAAAACTTTCAGCGAGGGGTGACATATTTCGCCTTTTTTCTAACAAATCTTGTCGCTTGCTTTTCCAATCGATGGACCGCCTTTGAACACGCATAAGGCGCTTATCAATTGTACCCGATTTTAGTTTATACGCATCTGCATAGTTAGACTCCATTTTATCAGTTTTTACTCTTAAATGATTGAGAACATTAAAAAAAAATTATGTC